TATGGTCATTTTTCAACACATATATAAAAAAAAAACAGTAGGAGCTCCTAGAATTTTCTAGTTAGAGTAAAATGTACGTTTACAAAAACCTTGGTTACGTTTAAGGCCTTTTTAGGCTATTGATCGAAATGTTAGGTGCTATTAACTTAAAGTACTTTTTTTGTTAAACATTTATATGATTTCACAATACCTTATAAGGCATTTTATTGAGAAATACGAGGGCGAATCAAATATAAACCGGAATTATTTTGCACGCGCCGTGAGGTGAACATGAAAGGGCGACTCCTAAGCGTTATAAGTAGGGATGCCTGAAGAAGATTAGGGGATCTCATACTATCGCTCCTTTAGTCAGTACGATCAGAGCAAGAGGTACCCTGATCCTTTGACTATACAAATCAAAATCCTCATCCGTTGCGCAACGGATTATTATCAAGTTTCTTACGACAGAAGGTGTAAAACCGTCCGAAATTTTGAGAAGATTTAAGGCACAGTTGTCAGGGACACTCTTAAGAAGACTCAAATGTACGCGTGTACAAACAATTTTTAGGACAAGAAGCAGTTGAAAATGAAATTACCGACGTCGCCCGAAGATTAACGTGACTGAGGAGAAGATTCGCATTTTTGGTCGCCTTTTCGAGGATGACTATCGATTAACGGTTGCTGAAATTACTTCTAAGATCGGGATACGTTACGGCAGCGTTCAGGCAATCATTACTGACGAACTTGGGTTTCGAAAAGTGTCCACAAATGGGTCCCTCCTCGATTAAGGTACTAGAGATGTAAGTATTCTCATCCGCCATTGGTTCCATTTGATTGATAAGTGACACCTACGGGAAATCTGAATAATTTGCAACCTTTTTCGAATCTGCTGCTACAATTTATTGCAACGCAGATAAAATCTTGAAATTGGAATTTACATTTACTTTGCCACTACATGTTTATCACTAATTGTACCATAACCAATCAATCCTACATCATCAACCTACATCTCTAGTGTTCTACTCACCGAAGATTAGAAATAGCAGCGAGGTGTGTAAACGACTATTGACATGCTAAATGGGACCAGGTTAAATGGAAGGCTTTTTTTGCATTGGATTGTTAGTTGTGATGAAACTTGGATCATTTACATCCTGAAACCCAAACAAGCCATAGAATGGTGAAAGAAGAATCTGCACCTATCAAATCCAAAACTTGGTTCTCAGCTGGAAAAGTTCTTGCAACTGTATTTTTAAAAGAGTTTTGCACATCAATTTTCTCCACAAACGTACCGTGAACATCGCATACTACTGCCAACTTTTGGACGAAACAAAACTCGCATATCATCAGAAAAGACGCGAATTTCCAATACAAGACGTTACATCCTGCACAACAATGTCCGGCCAGTCCAATATAACTGTCCAAACTCGATAAAAAATTGAGAATTTGTTCTGGACTACACTGAAATACCCTCCCTATAGTTATAGGGACTTATCACCCTGTGATTATCATTGTTTCGACTACTACAAGAAGAAGAACTCTGTCCTTGGAGGACAGAGATTTGATGATGTCGAAGCATTCATGCGCGATTGGCTAGTGTCATAACCACTTTCATTTTACGAAAGCGGGATCAAAAAACTACCTATCTGTTGGAAAAAATGTGTGTAAGTCCGGAGATTATGTAGAGAAATAACTTTGTATGTTTATATTTTTATGATGCTCCAATAAATTAAAAAAAAATAATTCCGATTTATATTTGATTCACTCTCGTAATAAAATTAACCCTCAGTACACACACTTCAAAAAAGTTCCTATCTACCCACATCCGGATATACACATGTAACCCTACGTTTTCTTTTGCTTGTATCTCAGATTGTAGTGCATCGATTTTAATTAATTTTTTTTTAATCAATTGTTTGAAGACTGAAAGAATTTTTGAGTTAGAAAGTCTAAAATCTAGCACAAAAGATATTTTGCAATAAGTGAAAAGAGATTGGAAAAAAATGTGAAAACAAATTTTTTGTCAAAAATAAATGAAAAAAGATTTTATTAGTGATGAATCAGCAGCTAATGAGTTGAATTTTTAAGAAACTATAAGCGTTTTTGCGATTTGCTCTAAAAACGATATTTTTTTTTTACAAAGTGAAAATGAGTGATTTTTCAGTTTTTATGGAAACTAATCATAAACCGAAAATCTTTGAATTTTGATAGAAATAAATAAAAAAAAATGGCCCTATCGTTCTTCTACAGTAAATATTAACAATTTACTATTATATTTAATATTTGCCACGAGAGCCATTAACGAGGAAGAAAAAAGTCTGATATTAAGAACACAATAAAATTGATTTTAAAAAATCATTTTTTTATGATGTGTACTCATGATGAAAATCATAAATAATCCAATTAATCATTTCTACTTACATTTCAACTGTGCAATAAGGATTTTTTTATGTTGAACCTATAAGGGATTAGGGTAACCCCAACACGCACTTTACACCGTACAATTACGTAGCTAATGGCGCATTAGAAGGTCGCCAAGCACAAGGGAATTGTAAAGATGGTACATAAGTCCCCCCCCCCCCCAGCCTCAGCATCACTGCTCAAAGCCTGTTCGAATGCCTAAATTATGAAAGGTGGAATTACGCTAACCCCTTGTGTGTTGAGGATTAACATTTATTGAATTGGAAAAGTTAAAAGCATCGTAAAAAAATAATATAAATCTATATAAGAATCATAAAAAATTGTTGTTTATAATTGTTTTTATTATTGTAAATAAAAAAATTTTGTTACCGAGAATATTTTAAGTTAATGGCATCGCAATTTTCAATCTATAGCCTAAAAAGGGGGCAAAGTTTGAGCTTTTATTTTATCCCAACTAGGAGGTTCTAAGGGCTCCCATTGTTTTTCTACAGATATTCAAAGATGACAAAAAGCGTTTTTTTTTTGTACTTTTGACTCCGTTTTATTTAAAAATTAGAGTTTCTAGTTTTATACTTTCTTACTTTTCTAGTTTCGGATTCGGGAAAAAACCTATCGGAAACAGTTGCCTTCGGCTCTACAAAAAATCCATATTTCCTAGTGTTATTTTTAAAAATATTTTAGGACGAGTAGATAAAAATTATTGAAATATATTTAAGGATAAACAATATTTAAGGAACGTATTTATTGTAATACAATATAATAAAGTTTTTTTTATATCCATTGCAGAATTTTCCATCTCTCTCTGTGTGTGTGTGTGTGTGTGTGTGTGTGTGTGTGTGTGTGTGTGTGCGCGCGTGTGCGCGCGCGCGCGCACGACACATAAAAAATATATATTTACATACTTTACATACTGATATATTATAAGAAAATACAAATGTAAACTTTTTTATAATCTAAAATTAATTTATCTAGAAAAAAATTCTTTTTCTAAAAATTAAAAATTGAAATTAATTAATTCGTGAGAAATATACAACAGATCTGAGAATTTGGGTCGTAAACCAGATTTTCAGTTGAAGAATTATTCTCGCGTTTTATTAAAATTTATTAAAAGTTCTTGAAACTATATAATTATTATTAATGTACTAACATTAATTTTGGAAATTATATTCTCTATTATGTTTCTTAAAAAATTAATTACGTTTTCTTAAATCTAAACTAATCCCTATTTCGCATAATTTTATTTTTACAGCCGTTTACATCTTATCCACGTATATATACGTATGAAATATATAATAACTAATAATAATTAATGTAGATGAAATGTGTAACTATAATGATAATGTTTTAAGTATATAAAAAAATGAAATGCAAACACAGGAATGTATATAGAATAAAAAACATCTAAAAAAATAAGAAAAACAAGTACAATTTTGTAAATATCTGTATAATTGTCTGACTGATTTGTCTGATTTTAAGGAATTTCTAAAAATTTGATATTTTATATTAAAATAAATAAATATAATACATAAGAGCCAATCACAGAACTTGATGCGTAAATTAAATTATATTTCTAATGTTTTTCATATTAAAAATGGTTTTCATACAAGAAGAGGTAGTCTCTTTATTATAAAATTTTTTTGCATTCTGAAGAAGACTAAATCACGTAGCCGAAATATGTAAAATAACAATGTATTTAACTCTTGAAAAATCAGACATCATTCTTAAATTTTCTTATCATCAATGTTAGAAATAAATAAATCAATTTACGCAAATTCTGCCGTTGGCTCTTATATATTCTATACTATCTTTATTTATTTTAATATTTATTATTTCGAGCCCTTTATTACTTCTCCATTCTTATTATTTTTGATATCTTAGCTACATCTATTTCACAATGATATATATTTTTATAAATACTTTATGACGTCAATGTGTGAGAGTTAGAAAAAATTCTTTTATTTTGAAAGCGACATAAATTAAATTTTGATATACAGGTTCTCCCATTTTAACTTTTGCATCGAAAATTATAAAAAATATGGAAAAATGTTTTAAACAAAAGTTTTATGACTTCACAGGGGACATATCTAAGATGGTTTTATTTGTCTTTAGAATATGTTATAACAATCAAAAGATTTTAGCTATCAGTTGAACATTTTGGATAGTGTTAATAATCGATGGTACTGTACAACTTTCAAACATTATATCTCTAAAAGTACTAAATAAAAAATATTTTATTTTGAAATATAGTATTTTGAAAGCGTTTCTCAAAGTAATCTAAGAAAATATGCAATGAAAAGTAGGGGTTTTATTTAAAAATTCAAAGTGACTTCGTCCCTTAACGCCACCCAAGATCAAACTAATAGTACCTTTTTATGTCTCCCTCAAAGTCATAAAATTTTTGTCTTAAATTTTTTTTATACCTTTTGTATTTTTCAAGATATTTTGATACAAAGATTAAAATGAGACATCCTGTATAAAGAATATAAT